CTGATGTAAGGATGGATGAGATTGTGGATATATTCAATTGACTGTCTAGAAAAACGGTACCGCTCAAATAAAAATGCATGAGGATATGACAAAGAATCCACTCGGGGCCTCAAAATCCTCTCCCGACCTAAATGTAACTCCCTACGAATTAATGCAGCCTCCTCATCTACAGGATCCTCTACAAAAGGACATGCCATTTTCACTTTTTAGACCGTCTGCAAGACGGAAATATGTGCAATGAATGAATGTACCAAAAGAACGAATGAGTTATTTAAATACCGCTTCCACTTTAAAAAAGGGGAGGAGACTGAAAGAAACTCCGAGTTTAACGAAGAAAACCTGCTCCCGACCAGGTTAGGTTCACAGAGTAAGTTGCCATGGTAACTGACTCAGAGTATAGGTTACCTCTCTTTCAGAAACTGGCTTGACTTACCCTGCTTTCTCGGGTTTGAGATAGCTCCGTTTCTGAAACGGAAAACCCAGAGTTTCCCACATTTCAGGGTTAACATACTCAGAGTTTTCACTTAACCACCTTTCTGAAACGGGCCCCTGGTGTACTTGGTGACGGCCTTGGTGCCCTCAGACACGCCGTGCTTGGCCAACTCGCCGGGAAGCAACAGGCGCACGGCAGTCTGGATCTCCCTGGAGGTGATGGTGGAGCGCTTGTTGTAGTGAGCCAGACGAGAGGATTCACCCGCACTACGCCCGAAAATGTCGTTCACGAACGAGTTCATGATGCCCATGGCCTTAGCAGAGATGCCGGTGTCGGGGTGCACCTGCTTCAGGACCTTGTACACATAGATAGCATAGCTCTCCTTCCTGGACTTTCTGCGCTTCTTGCCTCCTGGTTCGGGCATGCTGCTGCTTCTCGAGTGAATTGCGAGAGAATGATTAGCACCCGCTCTATTTACAGGCCGGCATTGTAATTACGCACAAGCAAGGAACATTTTTTATTGGTCAAAATCCCAACCCGCCTCATACAACTTGTGTATGGCGCTTGACGCCATTTGCTTAACCCAAAAAAACCAGACACACACAGTACGAGGAACAGCTCTTTTCTTGGATATTTGGGTGGCTCTTAAAAGAGCCGTTGTGTTCGTGTCGTTCGGTGTTGGAGCGTTTAACCGCCGAAGCCGTACAGGGTGCGTCCCTGGCGTTTCAGGGCGTACACCACATCCATGGCGTTGACCGTCTTCCTCTTGGCATGCTCGGTGTAGGTGACGGCGTCGCGGATCACGTTCTCCAGGAACACCTTCAGCACACCACGATTCTCTTCGTAGATCAGACCGGAAATACGCTTAACATCGCCACGGCGAGCCAGACGGCGAATAGCCGGTTAAGCGATTCTCTGGATGTTATCGCGAAGAACCTTACGGTGACGCTTAGCGCCTCTTTTGCCGAGCCCCTTTCCGCCCTTGCCTCTGCCAGACATGATGCTGCTCTCTCCGATTCAAGCTGCTCAATAAAACTCGCCGCGCCGCACCACATATTTATCCGCCCTCTACAGGACCTTGTTGAGAACAGGCGAGGAGGCGGGCCTAAGACCAACGGTCACACACGGGAATAATATCGGGGACTATGAATGTTAATAATAAATGTTTGTGGGTTGGCATTATTACTGTGTCTAGTTATGCAAATAATTTTGTTTACAATGTGTTAACGTTGATGTGTTGCCCACAGTATCAAAGCCGTTGCCAGTAGTTCATAGAAATAGTGTTTTTCGACTTTTTTTTGTTGCCAAATTGCCTTTAATACTTTTAACATATTTATGAGCAAAAGGACATTTCGTTATTTTTGAATTCCACACATGCCTTCTTTAGCATTCCCAGATATTTAATGTAATCTTAATTTCATAACATATCATGATAAGGTTATATGAAATGCACATCTGGAACTTTACACTATTTCATTATTGTTTTTTGGAAATGGAGGCTAATGGGGGATATTTACATTTAACATTGTCTAGTACACTACTAAATGTGATATGAACTAGCTTTAATATTTCTCTCCGACACTAATGCAACTCTGAGAAAATCAACTTTGAAAACGATATTTTAAATATCAACGTCACTGACGACTTCTTTTTAAAATATGCCAGAAGAACTGTAACTCTCCCGTTTGCTTGATGTGTTTGAGGAATAACTCGTGTGCCTCAGTCTTGGAACATTTCAAGACTGTACCAGAGAATTCAGTGTTTTATTGTTAGAAAGGGATTTGACATTTTGTTGTTGAAAAACTGGAATCGTGTTTTCATAATACATGACATTATATGAGACTTTATATTTTCTTTAATATCTGTTGTATTTCTTCAGTGGTACTGTGGGCAATACTGCATTGAAAGTACTGCTTTGATAATTAGGAAGAGACGTATTTTTCTTTTAAAAATTAGAAACAAATCACTTTAAAGAAAGGAATATTACGTGCGCACATGTCCTTTATTCATATTCTTCCCCATACTTTGCCATACAGTTGAATCTGCACTCATTATGATAAGAATTATGATTACTGTAAATTAGTGTGCAATCATAACATCAAAACTCAAAGGCCAGATGGCGATATCAATTATTTTCGCACCTTTACATGTACAAAAAAAAAAAAAGATTAATGATTATGGTTTTATCAATGCATTTTTATGTTGTATGCTGTCATTTTAAAGTGGTTTGTTCCTTTACAGCAAGATGAACTGTACAAAGTATTTATGCAATTATAATGTTTCCTTTTTTATGATTATTGTACATTTTTCAGCAAATTGGGTTACTTGTTGCATGTCTAACACAGCTGACTTTCTGTGTCAGTGCATTGTACATGTTTGGCATTATAACTTTTTTTTTTTTT